TTTTAAATTTTAAATTTTTAAATTTTTAAATTTTTAAATTTTAAATTTTTAAATTTTTAAATTTTTATTCTACATTTTCGACTCCTTTTTCTTCAGAATCACCTCCTTTCCGCTTGTACCACCAGCTACCAACCACCCTGTATTAATTTATATTTTGTACTCTATCTCTTTTTCTCTCTCTTTCTCTTGATGAAATGAAAATCGACATCGACAGCTAAGATTCCACCGATAACGCTTAATTTCATTTGCAATACGTAAAAGTCGTTTAAGTTGCTCGCACGCGTGGCGGTCGAAAGAAGAACAAGAAATACTCTAAGAGACTTTCGAACCGCCTTGAACGATTGAATCTTCTTGATGCTTCTTTGCCACGACGATTAGTCGAATTGTGTCGCATGTACGTATTCGTGGATATATATGTATATGTTAGAAAAATCCTGTACAAACGAAAAGAACGAAGGCGAATGAGCAAAAACGTTTCTCTACAGCATGGAACGAAACTGTTGCAGCATCGGCGTCTAAGCTACAGCCGACACGCGGTGAACGATCGCGATCTCTCGACCCAAGTCAATTACAAAATGCACATGAACATACGTCGGATGATGGGAGAGCACAAGCATCGTCACAAGCGCAGTAAAAAATTGCTCAAAGTAAGAATGTTCTCGCGTTGACGCGTGTTCTTCGAGTTTATACGAGTTTCCATTATATGTCCTGTTCGATTTGCAATTAAAATGTCGTTCCTTCTCTCAACCGAACCGTAGGACGGTAAGCAGAATCACGTGAGTTTTCCGGAGTTCCAGCAAAATGGCTCGACGAAGTTGTTCACACAAGGTAAAATTGGCGAAAGAGATATCGACGCGTTTTTTCGCCGGAAAAAAAGGATCTCGTTTGAATACGTGAATTTTCATTGAACGTAGATTACATCAATGGCGTCCTGTACGAATTGGAGAACGGAGACACGTCAAAGCCTTCGAGCAAAGAGGACTGGGACTCGGCGATTACTTTCACAGCTCGTACTTCCGGTAAGAACAGCCTTTCTCTCCTTCTTTTTTTTCTACCTTTTTCGTTCATTTCAGCGAAGCTTTTGGCTACGTCGCGTCGTCGATAGAAAACGGCGCGCAAAGTTCTCGAATTATCCTCTCATCCTCGAGCCGATTCTTTTGACAAATTAGTTCCGCGCAAGATAATTCAACGAGACTTCTTGCCGAAGCTTGTCTTTTGAATATAAAACAGCAGAAGAAAAGGTGTAGCAGCTAATTCCTGTCCCGATTCGTAGTTATAATTTTCTCGTCGACCGATTTCCGTAGACTCGTTGAACGTGAACGTGGACAACCACCACGGCGCCACCACCACTACCTCGATGGACACCATAAATACCGACGATCCCGATATGAAATTAGGACGAGACGGTGAGTTCTTGCTCGTTGTTGATGGTATCGCCAGAGATCGTTCGTCTTTCAATGGAAATCCCATTCCTTGTGCAAGTGTCGAGTACTTTGCACGATTTAACCGTCTTCGAAATTCCTTTCGACAGCGTAAGAAGAATTGTCGGATACTCTGATAGCGCAAAAGATTAAGATGGTTCGGCTGCCAAGATTTCTGCCAAATCTCGTAAAGTTTCTTTAAACTACGAAACATTTCGTTCCTATTTTGAAACATCTCTTACGAATTCGAGAATCTTTTAGTATCAAAGGAAATTCTAATTTCGTAGAATATCAACCTTTGAAGCGTAAAATATCTTATTCGATATTTCGTTGTCTCTTTAGAATTATCCTTCTTCAACACGTTGACTGCCACGACACCCGAATACGGGTGTCAGAAAAGTTTCTGGTCAGGCCGCGTAACCCATATTCGGGTGTCGCTTATTTGACTACTCGCGAAGGATCGTCGTAGGCATCTGAAAAGATATTCCATAATAATAAATTGTTAATTAATAACTAATCGTAATAATAGTTGAATTGTTATAAAACAAAAATACGAAAATGGTTTATTAAAAAAATTATTTAGATTGTAAAACTTTAAAGCATTCTATACATAGCTGAGGTTGGTCGGGACAATTTGAACAATAAGTTGTTTTCTTCAAATTCTTTCGTGCCTTTGTCCATTTTATTCGCATAACACAGTTTGCATGCGCGTCTAAAGCTTCTTCCGGAATTATTTTTCCGAACGGCGATTTTTTGTATTTTCAGACAACCCTAATAATTTCGCAACTAATAATTGTCTAAATATTCTAATATTTATATTTTTCCTCGGTGCAATTTTGTAAACCGCGAAAGCGTTTACAACAGAAATTCCCAGAAAGAATGGAATGCCAAGTTTTCCGTATCACTTGATTCCTTTTCTAATTGTGGCGGCACAAGAAACCATTTGGTCGGAATAATCTATACCACACTTTCCTCCGTTATATTCAACAACAGCCAGTGGTTTTAATGTTGCGAACGAATGGAACGAAAGATCGTTCTCGAGACCACCGCTTGAGCGATTCGCATTACTAAAATATCGACATCAGGGAGCATCTAGCAGAGAACGCTTGGTACTGCTGTGCTCGTGGCCTGACGGAGATTTCTTTGAAAACACGCGTGGCAGTCAACGTGTTAAAGGATTTTGGAATTTTTTCTTAAAGTATAGAGAGGATTCGGAAATACAAATAGTTTACTTTATTTCACACACAACAGCTATACATATACAGGGTGGTTGGTAACTGGTGGTGGTACAAGTGGAAATCTACAGTGAGATCCGTTATAACGTACCGCACGCGTACCGAATAGAATAAAAATTTAAAAATTTAAAAATTTGAAAATTTAAAAATTTAAAAATTTAAAAATTTAAAAATTTGAAAATTTAAAATTTAAAAATTTAAAAATTTTAAATTTTAAATTTAAATTTAAAATTTAGAAATTTAAAACTTTAAAAATTTTTTAAATTTAAACAGTAACGTCAATCGAGACAACGATCTACAGTGAGATCCGTTGTAACGAGACGCGATAAAGTGCGTGCGTACCGAACGAAAATTCAAAGTCGATTTTCTCGAGAACAAAGTCTCGAACGAAACATTTTTATTCCATATTTTCGACTTCTTTTTTCGCGTAGAATCACCCCTTTGCCGCTTGTACCACCAGTTACCAACCACCCTGTATATCACACTCTGAAGACCTCGATTACCTTCTTGCACGCACGCTTGTTGTCAACCGACGCTTCTAGATCCTTCTAAGAGCCTCCAATAGTCTTTTGTCTCGACTGAGACCTGGACACTCTCTGACACTTACACGCACATTCACATGTACAGTGTAAATGTATCATCTACCTAACATTCTTGCTAAATCCTTTGATAATAAAAAGGCTAATCATTTCTCTCTTAGAATCTTCGTTATACCTGACAGGGTTGTTTGAAAGTCTCAAGTTTTTCCCGTGATTTGTATTAGTAATATGGAAGTAACAATAATACTGTTATTTCTCGAATTGTAGAAACCTACAGGGTAACGACACCAACAGCCACGGAGACCATGTTGCCATGGAAGCGAGAAGACGATTACGATTCCGGGCACCCGATTAAACAGAATGAATTCCCCGCTTGGTGTTCAAACAAGGAGTACCTGGCTTACAGTTCCCCATCAGCCACATTCTTAGGTACGATCGATTAAATAATCCACTCGATACTACGAATACATCATTTCGCCACGCGTATTACATACAAATTTCTGATAATACTCGGTCGTAGTTTCGTTACATCATGCACTCTGTTTTTTTTCACTAAATCAACAAAGTGTTAAAGGAAGGTGATTCATAAAACGAACGAAATAAAAGATGTTCAAAAATTGCTCAAAAATTTACTCGTATCGGATTATTGAACGTTTATTAAATGTATTAACTATTTAGAGAATCAAATAGAGTTAGTCGCGACGAAAGAATTATCGAATCATCCTTTTTTAACAGTCTTTAAAAATAATACCCAAATTATACTCTCCGACACCTACTAGAAACCTTAACATACAGCTACTTTTCTATGGGGCTCGGGTAACCCCTCTCACGTTAGAGAGACAAATCTACTCTATGTATTTCCATCAAATTATTCATGATATATTTTGAAACTTTTACGCGTTGTTTCAGGTATTCCCTAACACGTCCATTTTTCCATCCAAGGTTGATTGGATATTGGTACTGGTACTGGTATTCGATACTGGTATAAGTAGCCATCATACAAAATTACTTTCATTCTAAATGAATAAAACAAAATTAAAGTTTATTATATTATTCCTTTAGCTATCCCTGTAAAAGTCATTACATCATTGCGGAGAAAAGATATAACACGAAGTAGGAATTTAAAAATAATGTTGTCAAACCAGACATTTTCACTGACGTGGTAGTTTTAGCGTTAATAAACCAGCTAAACAACGGTTCATCTATTGTAGCTAATATTAAAAATCTCATTTACTAAAATCAACCAATAATAATCTCGGACCGAATGAACAATTTTTCCAATATCCAATTATATTCTAAAATCTGTATCTATACATCTAAAATATTTAATTGTAGGTTGATGTATGAAAAGAAAATATTTTTGACTGTCGATTCGGCTAATAGATAAAAAGGTACGTAAAATGTTGAAAAAAACGCTGCTTTACAGGAGAGCCGTATTTGCGAGAGCGGGCCAGCTTAACGAGCTCGGAGGATACTAGCCTCGGACTTCCGGCCGAACAACATGTAAATGTTATCTTCAAGTGGTCTCAAAATTTCTGTGTCGTTCTTTTATTTTCTCTCGATCTGCAAAGCGAATGCGTTTTTTCTTTCGATCTTTGGGTTACCCAATCCCCCTTCGAACTCTTTAAATACACTCACACGTACACCACACACTTGCATACACAAAGCACCTTGTCACCATAATACACGATTGATTGTGCATCACACATGATCGATCTTATCGAATCTTTCGTGCATATTCTCAGCCTCGAACTATCGATCCAGAACACTTTTGTGTTGCCAAGTTCTTCCACGAGCACTTCTCTGTGTTTCACATTTTCCTACGATGTACAGGGTGTTTCGGTTACTTTGGCCAGCTGAAACATCGATGTTCGTTGCTATCGGCTTGCTGTGTCGATGTGAAAATTTAAGAATTGATGGAGCTTGCAAATATATTTGTCGAATTACACGCGCTATAGCTAGAAATTGTTTAGAACGTTCTTCTCATTCGGTTTCACGATTGAATATACGTTTGGTACAAGGAATACGATCAAAAATGCAAATGCAAATCTTTGACACCGATTTGTTATATCGAATTTTGTTATATTGAAAATTTTGTCATATGAAACGTGAAATTGCGTCTCGTGAAGGAAATAATGGTCCGGGTACTTGTGATTGGTGGTAGTGCACGTCGGAACATTGGGTTCTCAAAATTTACGATAACTGTTTTTTTTTCGATCGAATGCAAACCATTTTTAAATGTCCTGACGTTATTAATCTTTATTTAACCGGATGGTGTTGATGTTCGGTTATCAAGTTCCCTTGCAGCAACGAGCACAAATGGTTAATAACGGCTGTAATTCATTAAATGCGGTGGACCATAGATTTTTATTCGCTTAACGTGTATTCGATGAGAAATGGGCTAATATCCTGAGCCATATATTCAAACTTTATTCAAACAAATGCAATTTTCCTCGTTTCGTATAATAGATACGTTGTAATGATTTTTAAATTATGTTCGTGTCCTCGTCCAATGAATGAAAGAAGAGAAACAGAATAAAGACGATAATACGAGGACTACGATACGAGTTACGTTCTTCGTTCCATTAAAAGCTGCATCTTCTTATTAGATTTTGGAATAAAGCGTGTAAGTAGATGAAACTTAAAAAATCAAAATGAACTTATCATAGCTTTCTCGCCTGTGGTCTTTATTATGCGCATAATCCAGAAAAACGATCATCTCTGTGCACTTTCTCTTAACAGAGATATTTTAAGAGAGAGAGAGAGAGAGAGGGGGGGGGATATTAGAGGTGGTCGAACCGAAACACTCGATGAATCTTCATTAACCTCGTTAGTAACACTTGCTTCTAATTAAAGGTGGAATCGAGCAACCAAAGGTCCAGTCAGTAATTGGTCTATTCCGTGGTGAGAGTGTGTGCACCACGGATGGTATCGATTGCCAGGAAACTGTGGACGAGCGTGACGAGTACACGTTGACGGGGACAGAACAGACGGAGGATTCGCCCACGAAAACCTTCAGTGAATACGAGAAAGGTAAGACGGTAAAAACCATCGAACTATATATAGTAACGTATTATAATACGGTACAATAATGTAAAGTTTTAGATTTCAATGCTAACTATGATTTTAAAAGAAAATTTTGCAACTTAAACGATGCAACATATAAGATCTATGTATGCAATTTTAGAAAAGATTCAAAGTTCTACTTATGAAATGAACAAGAAAGATTTGAAGTTTCTCAAGGAGATATAATTAATAAAGATGAAGTGTAGCAAGGTATATAGACCACGTTAAAGACGTCGTAAATTCAGTCAAGTATTAAATATACTCGACATTGAGTAAGGATGGAAATATAAAAGGGGGATATTAAGAATAAAACAGTTACATCTCGTTATGGACCATGAAATGTAACATTATCAGTCGTGATTTCATTGCCACTAAGTATGCAGGTTTATTACGTGACATAAACGTCGCATAGAATTTACGATTCAACTCTCTTGCAGTTATATTCGAAAACCACTTACGCAAGATAAAAATTACCGTGATTTCTTGCAGTGTACTATATCCGCTTACCTTCAGGGACAAATTAAGATAATACAGCTTTTTTATCTTTAAAACACATGTTACTTTAATTTAACAGACACGCGTGCTGCTTTATTTCTGTAACATAATGTAATATCGTGAAAATTTAGGTTGCGCTTTAGCGCTTGTAGAAGATGTCGCTGCTGGGTACGGCCGCTTCTCTTCTATTTTTGTATCGTGGAAGCAAAATCGGACTCCGGTCGCCGAAGATTCAAAACTCGGGTCCCGAACGTTCGCAACCTAAGGCGTTAACCACCGCGTTACCATCGTCAGACACTAGTTGTTGTTAAGTGTCGAGTGGTGGTATTTAACTATCGAGTGCCACCACAAACCCTTCTTTCCACAATACTAATAATACTCGGTCATATCTGACAATCACATCTGCCCTCAGATGTGCGCTCGTCAGCGCTAATTTCACTCGCTGGAATTTCTCTGGCGAGTCCTCTAGGGTCTTTTTGAGCGTTAACACTGTGCGCGCTTAAGGCTTGTCTTATCACGAAGGACTTACCCCAATTCCGCCCCCCCCCCC